GGAGCCCGATGCGGGACTCGATCCCGGGACTCCAGGATCATGACCTGAGCCGAAGGCAGTCGCCCAACCAACTGAGCCACCCAGGCGCCCCTAATTCTTTCTTTTTTAAAGATTTATTTATTTTACAGAGAGAGAGCGGGGTGGGGGCAGAGGAAGAGGGGAGAGAGAATCTCAAGCAGACTCTGGGCTGAGCACAGAGCCCCACACAGGGCTCGATCCCACGACCCTGAGATCATGACCTGAGCTGAAACCAAGAGTCAGATGCTCAACTGACTGAGCCACCCAAGAGCCCCAGTTTTTTTCTTTTTAAAAAATCTTGTGTTTTTTAAGTCTTTTATGTGTTTGTTGACTCTTAATTATCTATAATTGTAGATGTCTCTAAATTGATAGTTTTGTTAAATGCAACCTTATTTCTTTAGCTCGAGGAAGAATCCCTGCTTTGCTGATAGTGAATGCAGGTTCTGATTTACAGGAGCCCTACTTCAGTGGCAGAGGGTGGGAGAGAAGGAAACTTGACCTGAGAGATTTTTTGTAGGGTGTATGGATAGTTTGTCTTCAGGCACTTCTGGGAGTGCCTTCTCTAGTGATTACTGTAAGTTAATTGAGAGCAGCACTCCCTGATCTCCTTGTCTCGGTATTTATTAATGGACTCTCCAAAGTTAAAACTTCTGGAAATCTATTCTCATGACTTTAGCCTAAGGGCAGCTATTAGCTTTATTTGCTCATTCAGCAACTTCTGGAATTCTGCCTGTACCGGAATTAACATGATGTTCTGCTGGAAAAGCTCACTTTTTTTTAAGGCCCCTTCTTTGGTTAGATTTTACCATCAGTCTGAGCCTATCTATTTTTAAACCGTTTGTGAGTTTTTCATGGTTCTGATCTGCTAATGGTACCCATTCTGGCTTTTCAGTATTGCAGTTAACTTATTTTTAGAGTTGCTTTTTGTCATTTCATTGGGATTTGGAGAGGAAGAGTCAGGTAAAACCATCTTCATTAGTGATTTAAGGTCATCTTTGACTTCTTTCACCTGTACAGGGGATGAATTGCCAAATAACTACTGATTCTGCCTCTATAACAGCTCCTCTGCCTGTCCTCACTTCCTATTTCTGTACCCTACACATTAGTCCAGGTACTCATTTCTTAATTTTAACGATCACCTGACTTGTCAGTGCTTTTTTTTCTCACTTTGGAATAGGCTTAGTTTTTCTCACTGTGGTATCAATCTTCCCATCATTCATCTATGAAAAATGACACCTGGTAATCTTTTAAAACGAAGGTCAGATTTCTTAACCTGGCTTTGAAGGCTTCCTACCTCTTATTATACCCAATCTTTCTTTCTAACTTTGTTCCATTAATTCTCTGCATAGAACTCTCCATTCAGGGGGCACCTGGGTGGCTCAGTCGGTTAAGCATCCCACTCTTCATTTCAGCTCAGGTCATGATCTCAGGGTCATGAGATGGAGCCCCATGTCAGGCTCCATGCTCAGCAGGGAATCTGCTTGAGATTCTCTCCCTCTGCCCCTCCCCTCCACTCACACACTCTCTCTTTCAAATAAATAAATAAATCTTAGAAAAAAACAAAAACAAAACCTCTCTGTCCGCTTCATTTGTCCTCTCTTCAATGAATCCTTTCCTCATCATCTCAAGAGCCCAAAGTAACCTTTTTCTCCTTGAATTTCCTTTAGTTCTGTACCTCTGTAATTCCCTTCTCACTTTCAATTGTATAGAACATGTTTAGGTAATATCTGGTCTCTCATTAGGCTGCACTTTTTTTTAGATCACTGTCCCTATCTTAATTTTTTTAAGATCCTCCATAGGAGGTAGTTTAGTAACTTCACATATTATAGATAGCCAAAAAAATTTTATTTACTCAATGAAGGAAAATATGTTTAGATTTATAAACCATTAAATTATTAACAAATCTTTAGAATATGATTGACTTTCTTTAATAGAGATTAGTCATTTACTGTGATCTCTTAGATATTCCTCCTAGTGAAGTACATGCTTAACCAGTGACATCATACTAACAATTTATAATAATTTTGTGCTGACTGAAGTAGAAATTGTAGCCCAAAATTGAGTTTCTGATTTCTAAATTAAATAAACACAGACAGGAAAATTTAGTCAAGGTAGATTCAAACAAATACTATTTCAGTGGATATATTTAAGTTACCGATACCATAATTATGAAACAGAGTATGACTAAGGAAGAAAATTTGACTTAAATGTGCTTATGTTATAAAAATTATACTGCTATTCAGTGTTATTTTACTTTTATTATCAGATTTATTTCAAGATAAAGGTCTTTTACTAAAATGGTATTTGAAATTAGTAGGACTGAGTAACAGATGGAATGCTCTCTTGACCTTAGTATGAATAATTAACTGTACTCCCCAGTATATGAGGTACTTTTTCTTTTTTGCCCACAAGCATAAAATAAAATTACCAGTTAATCAGTTACATGAACTGGCACAATATGAGATGTAGTAATCACTACCTAGTAACAGATTAGTCTTGCATAGTAGCATTAACTCTGACTAACATTATGACTTAGAATTAGAAACCCTAATTTCTCCATAGTTATTGATATTATTGAAAAAGCCTACCATACATGTTAACATATGTATATTATTATACACATATAGGTATAATATGTATATTATTATACACATGTAGGTATAATATGTGCTTCTTTTTCCTATTATATTTAAGTGAACGAAAAGAATACTCTCCAGGAAGAAAATAAAAAGCTTTCTGAACAGCTGCAGCAGAAAATTGAGTAAGTATCTTTCCTTAATTGCAACAGAAAATTGAATATTTTCCCTCAACTTCTCTTCCTTTATTACACTTAGCTATACAAACTGAGGATATTAAGAGTTGCACATTTCATTTTAAAAAATGGTACAGTTTTCTGCAATAATATAAAGAAAATTATTTTGTGTTTTGGGAGTATACATGAAGAGTGTATATGTATCTATTAGGTTTATGTATACATAAAGAAAAAACATTTTAATGTAAAACATTTTAATTTCTATAATTATTTATTTGAAATATTTATATTTTATTTTTTTAAAGATTTATTTATTTGAGAAAAAGAGCATGAGCGGGGGGGCGGGGATTTGCGGGGAGCCCAAAGTGGGGCCCGATCTCATGACCCTGAGACCATGACCTGAGCCAAAACCAAGAGTCAGATACTCAACCGACTGAGGCACCCAGGCACCCCTGAAATACTTATATTTTAAATAAATATTTGAGTTTTGTTACCTTTTCAGCCCTGACCCAAAAGCTTCATAAAAGCAATCTGAATAAGTTTTTCCTCTTACACACTTTTCAGGCCTGAAGAACTTCTTCCTTTTTCTGTTCCTCTCCCCGCCCATTTCTCTTAAAGAATAAAAATAATAGGGGCACCTGGGTGGCTCAGTCGGTTAAGCGTCTGCCTTCGGCTCAGGTCATGATCCCAGGGTCCTGGGATCGAGCCCTGAATCGGGTTCCCTGCTCAGCCGGGAGCCTGCTTCTCCCTCTCCCTCTGCCCTCCCCCCCCCCCTCAGCTTGTGATCTCTCTCTCTCTCTGTCAAATAAATAAATAAAATCTTTAAAAATAATAATAACTTGTGTTCTATATACCTGTTACTCTTCTTTGTGCATTATGTTTATTATATCTAATCCTCACTATGACTCTTCAAGGTAGTTTTTATTACCTCTGCTTTTATAAACAAGGAAGCCAGAGTTCACAAAAGTCAAATAACATGCTATCGTCTCACAGCTAGTAGGGTAATAAATTTGTAACTCCGACCCCTATCTTTTGACTTAAAGGCCTCTGTTTTTTCCATTATTCAACAGTATCTCAAAAAAAAGAATCTGTTTTTCTGGATATGGTCTGACTGTCACAGAGCTATGGCCAGTTCTTAGTTCCCTTTATATAAAGCTTATGAAATATTTTTTTAAGAGTTAGGATTCAGGATAGTCTTAATGGTGTTATAGGGCTCTTAAAGATTCTATTGCATTTGAGTGGACATCTACAAAAACTTTGGTAAACTATGCAGGTGTGACACATTATTATGGCTTAGAATAGTTATTGTCTTATGTATAAACACATCTTACAGGTGGAATTAAGATCCTTAATGGAATATACTTTTAAGTAGTGTCTATCCAATAGGATTTTGATATTCCTTCCATGTTATCAGTCCACTAAATATTAGCGAAGGAAATTTTGAGGGGGGGTGATAGATGAGGAAAGCAGTCTATAGGATCAGACTGAGATTATCAAACATTCACGTATGAAAATGTCAACACTTTCCAGTTTTACTCCTGTTGCATGTTGAGGTAAGGCTAGAACATACATCCACAATCTCTTATATATGATTCTAAAACCCAAAAGTTTTTTTTTTTTTAAATGGTATTCACAACCTAACCTCACCTCAACTCACAGGATGCTATTTATATGGTCCTTATCGATCCCATCTCATGTGAGCATTCCTGTGCTTTGCTGTAAAGATGGCAGTGTGCTTGACTACAGGATGACGCCTCGGGCTCCACTGTAATAAGCTGTATATGCTCCGTGTTACCCTTCATGTTAAAAAAAAATCTGAATTCCGAATCACATCCGGTTCCAGAGATTTCAGATAAGTGATTGTTGTGTTTTGTAAAGTGATTTACATGTAGCCTATGGTATTCTGAACACCTCAGCCTTGATATTTATGAATACCAAAGATAAACAAGATAATGAGCATGTAGAGGTTAATACAGGGTTAGAGAGGTGAATGCCTCCAAAACAAGGCACATAAAAGGAATAGAAACTGGATAATGTCATTTGCTTGGTGAAATATGAATTTGAATTCATTCAAACTAATTCTAGTTTATTTTTAGTGTTCTAGAAGTCACAATTTTTTCTGTTAAAGCTCACTGGTATTTTAGAAAAGAAATAAAAGCTAAAGTTTGAAATTACAATAAAGATTAACCATATAGATGTGCTTCAAAATATGCATCTTTTATTTCAGACGTGTCTGAATCAAAACAGTGTAGGGGCTTATCTAGTGTGTCTTTAAGTTCTTTTCTGAAATTTAAGATAGTTGTTCTCATAAGCCAACCTCTTTTGTAGCTTGCTCTCCTTAAACAAATTTACTTTTGCTTGGCAGTTTAAAAAAATGGCAAGTATTATCTTTTCTTTGACTACCTAAACCACTGTAACATTATGCTATTAGTCCCTGAAATTCCTCTGAACTTTAGAAAAAACATTTGACTTATACCTCTGCTTGTTAAATGCAATAATTCTGACCTCAGCTGGTTTTGATGTTACAGATAACTTATATGGTAGGACAGTTATTTAGTGACACTATAGTAAGAAATGAATTCAGAAAAAATTTGCTGTTATAAAGTTTTTTAAAAATGTGTGTGTGTATACATATACATTTATTCAACTCTACCAGTCACAGAAAGCAATAAGCTAAGTGTTGAGGTCATGGCTCTTTCTGTTTTGGGAAATGGATGTGCTGGATCAGTGAAGGTCAAAGCAGTCCATACACTCAAGGACTGTAAGATTAATTTCATTTTCACTCTTTTCCAAACTGAATTCCTTATATAACTTCTTTAATAACCATTGTTTGAACACTTCTACTATAAATTTAATCTCTCAAGCCTGTTTAATTTTAGTGAGATATTATTAGAAAGTTCTTTCTAAGTTTGTGTAGAAATCAGTCTATTTAGAGGTTATTTGTTGATTCTGATTTTGCCAACTGGGAGCATCTGGGACAAGTTCTATCCCCTCTTCTACTTCGCATTCATGAAGACAATTGTCAGGGCCCTCCTGAGTCTTACTCTTCCTTAGGGAAATTATCCTCTGTTCTTTAACTGTTCCTCAGGAGGCATTTCTTCAAGACTTCAAAGGACCATTTCTCTTTAATGTTTTAGTTTGTCAATATCCTAATTAAGAACTCAGTATTCTAGGGGCACCTCCTGGGTGGCTCAGTCGGTTAAGCATCCATCTCTTGATTTCGGCTCAGGTCATGATCTCAGGGTCCTGAGATCGAGCCCCATGTTGGGCTCCACACTCAGCAGAGAGTCTGCTTGAGATTCTTTCTCTCCCTCTGTGCCTCCTCACCACACACGCACTTGAGCACACATGTGTGCTCTCTCTTAAAAAAAAAAAAACAACTCTGTATTCTAGGTGTGGTCTGACCAATAGGGCAATCATGCCCTCTCCATTCTTCTGTATCTTTTTACTTATATTAATGTGGTCACAGCACATAAATATTACTGGTTGTTCCTTATTGGGCTTACTGTGACTAGAACTTTGAAGTCAGAGTCTTTCCTATCCTCTACTTGTAGATATGTTGTTTTAGATAAAAATACAGGACTTCAGAGTCATGGCTTCATAGTAGGTTGTTGAAGAAACCTTATACCATTTAGCCTGCTCCTTCGTTTTAAAAGAAGAACACTGTTGAATAAATACTATTTTCTGGGCATTGGACTATATCTTTACATATATTACTTCCTTCTCACAGCTTTCCTACCAAAAAGGAAGTGGGAAATTACAGTACCATACTTTATAGATATGGTAACTAAGGTTCAGAAAGGTTAACTGACTTACCCAATGTGACTGATAAGTGTCAGACCAAGCATTTGAACCCAGGTCTACCTCACTTCACAGTTTGTATACCCTTTCTTGTAGTTCTGTGCTAAAGCATCCTCAAAAGTTTACCTGCCTGTGTAGATGGCAGAGCTTGGATTCTCTCTCTTCTGATTCAGTTCAGTGAGGCTTATAATCTCTCATTTAACCTGTTGTATTTTGTTTTGTTAGATTTTGGCCCATTATTCCAACCCCTGGGGGTCTTTCATATGTTGATTTTTTCCTGCCATGTATTAGGTTAGCTTTTATTCTCAGCTTTATGTCTTCCACATATTTGATGTGGAATCAATTTTGATTGATTCCATCAATCATTAATAAAATGTTGAGCAAAATCAGACTGAGGATGGAGCCCTGAGGCATACTACTACATATTTCTTTCATTATCATTCTTCAAGAGATGATACCAAGAGATATCGCATGCCTTCCTGAGAGAGCTGCATATACAATAAAACATTCCTCAGAATTAAAAGTAGTCTTACTTGAATTATTCATATTATAAATTTATACTGGTTCTAAGAGATCACTAGTTTGTATTTTAGGGATCTTTTCCCTTTTTTTGGATATCAGAATGTTTAAGTAAACTTGATAGCTATAACTGCTCATTGAGTTTAAACTGTGTTTTGACTAAGTTCTTTAGAGAAGAAAAGCTGAATGTTAAAAACTTTTTTGTAGATTCTTTACAGAGGGAGACCCTGAATCTTTATAGGTCTTGAGAAAAAACAACTAAAGTTGTTTTGAAAGGAATTTAAGGGAAGGCCAACAAATAAAACACAATCAAAAAAATTTTACCCTTTTGCTGGTAGAAAAGTAGAAGAAAGTTGACCAGTGTGCATAATACTAAAGCTACAGCATGAACTTTTAATGTTTCTCAAAAATCAGGGAGACCCAATGCTTTATAGAAGAGACTTGGTTAATACATGGAAGTTGTTTTGGGTTTTTTTTTCCCTTTTATGACAAAAGCCAATACTTGTTTACTTAGTTTAGACACCTCTAATTAGATCTAGAGGTTTGGGGGGTTTTGTTTTTGTTTTCCTTTTGTGATCCCCGCTACTTATAGATTGACTCTTCCAGGAATTCAATTTCTTGTGACTCATTCATGTTCCAGGTTGAATTTTCATGACTAATAGGCAGATAGCCTGTGACGTTATTAGTTAAAGCAAGGTCAGATAGATTTCACACTCCATTAATTTATAAGGCTTTCTCATATGACCTTAGCTTACTTTGTTTTTACAGAATAAGACAGTTAAAAGTAGATATTAGCTCTAAAGATTTTCCTCAGTATAGAATATAGGATTATAGACTACAAGTAAATTGATATTATCTAGGAAATTAAGATATAAATCTGTTAGGAAAAATTAATCTTGTAATTTTTTTTAAATCTCTGTTGGTCACAGTTTATAAAATTCTCATTGCTTTTTGTTTGGAAATAGTATTACAGACTGATAGTGAGTATAATAGATAGACTGGTTTTATCACATAAAGCCTTAAATGCCTGACAGACTGGTAAGAATTGGCCAATAAGGTCAGTAATCATTTCACATGGGTAAGTCAATTGAGTTCAAGTTAATTAACTATTTACTCGATAACCACAATTCAGTCCAAACCCAGTCTTTAGGTGCCATTGGTCTTGAATTGAGCTGGGCTTGATCTCTCCGCACTCTGCTGAGTGCGGAGCCCAACATGGGGCTCGATCTCAGGACCCTGAAAAATCACCTGAAAAAAATCACCTGAAATCAGCACAAATTTATTTTTCTAATGGAATCTGGGAATCTCTCATATTCATTCATTCAACAAATATTTATTGAGCATGTACCAAGTGCCTACTATTGTAGACACTTGATGCATCAATCAACCAAAGATTCTTTATCCTCCTAGAGCTTACATTCTGGCAGGTGAGCAATAGACAATTATATTCTGTTTGAAAGCCATAAATACTGTAGATAAAGTAAACAGAGCAGAATAACAAGGAACAGGAGTACCTAAGGTATGGGAAGTAGGTTACAATCTTTTTTTTTTTTTTAAGATTTTATGTATTTTAGAGCATGAGGAAGGGAGAGGGGCAGAGGGAGAGAATCTCAAGCTGTGCTGAGCACAGAGCCAACGTGGGGCTCAGTCTCACAACCCTGAGATCATAACCTGAGCCAAAACCAAGAGTCCAGTGCTCAACCAACTGAGCCACCCAGGCACTCCAGGAGGTTACAGTTTTAAATAGCATGTTCAATGTAGGCACTGATGAGAAAGTAAAACTTCAGCAAGGACTTGAAGGAAATGAGATAGCTAAGTGATATCTGGGGGTGAGCATTCCAAGCAGATGGAAGAGCAAGGAACCTAAGGTGGGCTTCCTTGAGGAAGCAAGGGTGAGTGGAGTAGAATATAATAAAAAAATAGATCAGAGAGGTAATAGGGGGAGGGGGACAATTAGATCATTTAAAAGACTTTGGCTTGTGTTTTCAGTGAAATGGGGAGATATGGCAGGTTTTAATCAGAGGAGTGACACAATATGACTAAAGTTTTAGTAGAACTTTTCTGACTATGTGTTAAGAGTAGATTGTAAGGGAGCCTAGGTAGAAGCAGTGGTGGAAACTCAAAGTGTGAATCCTACTTGTAGTCAGTTATTAGTCTCAGGGTCTATACTAAGGATAACACATTGGGTGCTTCTCAGTACTGTCCTGGGAATCTGGCTGCCGGGATTTAGATCCTGCTTCTGTTACTTTGTTTTTTAGAAAGTGACTTAACTTCCATATCTTCATTTTTTCATTTTTAAAATGAGAGTGATATTAATAGCACATACAGTTGTAATAATTAAACTGATGCATGTAGCACTTCGTGCCTAGCAATATAAACCTCCAACAAATGTTGTAGTTATCATTGTTAGTATTATTCATCACCCTGTATTTGTCATTTGCCAAGTCATGTTGATTCAACTATCACAGTATTTAACCTTGGCCCCTTCCTTTCCATAGCTATTTTCAACATTCTAATTCAAACCCACAGAAACTCTTGCCTGGACCATGGTAGCCACTGCCAAATTGATTCCTTGCCTCCTTTCTTTCTGTCCCAGTCCGTGTTGCAGTCTTGCTGCTCGATTGTCACATTACTTCCATGCTCTAAAACCTTAATTTACTCTTTTCCTCTTGTTTTCTAAATTATGCACACACTTAATCAAGGCTGTTGTTCATGTAGTTCCAGCTTGCCCTTCTCTAACACCAGGTGCAGAATATTGGATGCCTTTTATTCAAATGTGTGCATCCTCTGCTCATTTTTTCTGCCATTTGAAGTTCTTTTCATTTCACCTCAAGGTACCCCAACTACACTTTGTACTTCACTTCTCACAAGAGTATTCCCCACTTGGTACTCTAATCATTTGAATAATTCTCTAATCTTTGTATTAATTAAATGCAAGGAATTAGGGGCACCTGGGTGGCTCCGTTGTTAAGTGTCTGCCTTCAGCTCAGGTCATGATCCCAGGGCCCTGGAATTGAGTCCTGCAACGGGCTCCCTGCTCAGTAGGGAGCCTACTTCTCCCTCTCCCACTCCCCCTGCTTGTGTTCCCTCTCTCGCTGTCTCTCTCTGTCAAATAAGTAAATAAAATCTTTAAAAAAAAAATGCAAGGAATTACATCTTTTACAGCTTCATACCTGTGTTCTTTTGTAAGTCTATACTAGGGGTGTTTTAATAAATATTTGTTGAATTAATTTTCTTTCATTTGTCATTATTTGCCTTAGAAATGATCAGCAGCACCAAGTGGCAGATCTTGACTCTGAGGAAAATGTTATTCCAGATTCACCAATAACAGCCTTTTCATTTTCTGGCATTAATCGGCTACGAAGAAAGGAGAACCTCCATGTCCGATACATAGAACAAACACATGCCAAACCGGAGCAGTCCGTGTGTACAAACGGTAAGGATTGGAGTTTTATTTTAGTTATCTGTTTTTGTATAAAAAAGTTTTCTGCTATGGTGAGTTTTTCTGTTCTTCCATCTAGTAGAAGGAAGATAACCATTGTTAGGGAACTTACGTCACAACTGTAAGTTTAACTTCCATTGTTGAGGTGACTGGGAAGGCATTTTCTGCCTATGTTGTATATAGGCATGCATTACTTATCTGAATATGTAAATGCCCAGCATTTTATAAATGTAGTTCATAGGTTTTTCTCCTTTTATTTAAAAAATATGCCTATGTCTATATCTGAGTGGGATTAGAAGGAAAAAGGGAAAGGAACTTAATGTTAATTTTCACCTATTGTGTGCCAGGTAATACACTGAGTGATTCGAGTACATTATTACCAAATTTTGATTCTTCTGACAGTCTTGGAAGGTAGCTGTCAGTATCTTCATTTTATAATGAAGAAAGGTTTTGCTCTTTGGAGGGGTTAAATAACTGACTCAGGGTCACCTGTCAAGTAAGTAGATGAGTCAGAATTCTAATACAGATCACCCTGGAGCTAAATTTTTATACTTTCCATGTCTTACCACA